CCTCCTCCTCGCTCCTCCTCCTCCTCCTCCTCCTCCTCCTCCTCCTCCTCCTCCTCCTCCGCCTCCTCCTCCTCCTTCTCCTCCTCCTCCTCCTCCTCCTCCTCCTCGCTCATCTCCCTGCTGCTGGCCTCGGCGCGACGGCGGTCGTGGTCGTGACGACCGCTGGCGTGGTCGTCCGCCTGCGCCAGGTCGTGGACGTGGCGGTGGTGCGGCCCCTGCGGAAGGGGACGGGGCAGGGTTCCTTGTTTATCGTGGGTCGAGGATCGAGGTCAAACGTCGAGGATCGAGGGCACAAGACCGAGGACCGAAGCTTCGTGCCGAGCTCCACGGCCTCTCCGGCGGGCCGCCGCGGCCCTGCCCGGCAGCCAGAAATGGCCCTGACCCAGGGTGTGCCCAGCTCGTCGCGCCACTGCGGAGCGCCTGGGACCCTCCGGGCCTCGTGATGGGTACTCTAAGAGGCCATCTGGGCCTCCCAGGAGATCCTGGGGGCTCCTGGGGCCAGGGACACCCTTGGAAACACCCAGCGGAGGCGGACGGGGGAGATTGGGAGGCCACTCCTGGGAGGCCTTCGCAAGAGCGATGGAAGGCTATTGAGCCCGATTGAGAGACCACAATTTAGCTGGATCAGCCAGGACTCAGCCCAAGATTAAGCCCAAGACCAAGCGGGATCAAGGGGAACTGAACGGGACTATGCCGAATTAAGTCCGTTTTCGACTACGCGTATACCGGCGCAGATGTTGAATCGAACCTCACAAGAGTTGATCCTGAGGAGGAGAATGGAATCGGCAGCGCCGGGCATGGAGCAGGAGGAGTGTGAGGGAGGGAGGACAAGATGAATCAGCGTGCTATCGGTGAAACGGATCGAATCGGAATGTGCAGCGGGACAGGCCGCATCGGCACGGAGGTAGACTTGGATCTGATCGGCCGAGCCAGGATTTACACTAGCGCCATGCAACCATCGGGCCACATCGGATCGTCAGAATCACATCGGATCGAGCTGCTCAAGACGCCCCCAAGCAGCAGAGCCCCGAGTGGATAACACCAGACTAATAGCAAGAGCATGTAATATTATCCGCCACCGCGTCTTCAGCGTGTAGTGGTGTGAGGCTCATGCACTCGAGAGTGTCAAGGGGATCGTAGGATCCCTTGGAGCCCCGACCACCGAATGGATGGATTCTTGGGCGCTGACAAGCGCTGCTGGGCGCTGCCAGGTGCTTCTGGCGTTTCCCAACGACGAGGAGTGGGAGGAACTGCAGTGAGGAGGGGGAGAGGAAGAGGAAACCGCGGAAGAGGAAGCAGAAGAGGAGGATAATGTGTTGAAAAAGGGTGGGGGAGGTTCTTTGTAGATGTGTACGCATATGCATTGAATGTCTGCATATAGAATCGCCACCCCCGAACATGATCATATGTGTGGGCCCCCATAACATTAATGTGGGCTCAGCCTCTACTTCTCTCTTCGTTCTCTCTCTCTCTCTCTCTCTCTCGCAGTCTCTCTTCTTATCATCATATCATCCTCTTGTGGTTCCTCCTCCTTATCCTTATGCAGGAGCGGCCTTGCAAAAGGATTCGCTTGGAGCCTGTCGTGCAAATGGACTCCTTGTGTGGCGGTCTTAAAAATACTCTCATGGTTGACAAGCCTTACTGCGGCTGCTCACTAAATGAAACGCTGCGAAACACTCACATACCATATATTGTTCAAGGTTGGGATCATGAAGCCATGCGAACATATAAACGCATAAGAATATGTGTATATACCTATATGTACGTATGCCAGGTGCTCCTATATGTGTACATACACACACCTATGCGCATGTCACTATATACATATATATATGGGGTAATGAGATCATGCGAATGCCCGTTTACTGAATGCATACTCAGGTGTTCCGAACGGGTGCCCCTCCTCCTCCTGGTCATTCTCCTCCTCAACGCCCCGAAGGGTCAATGTGCCAGGTAGTACAGATACTACACATGTTTGAAGGCGTTGTCAAGGAAACCATGTGAGGAATGAAAAGCATGTGTTCAATATGTAACAATAGGTTTCGTTTAAGGGGGCGAGAGAAAAACTGCATATGGTTTCAATGTTTCTGGCGACGGGCGCCGCTCCTTCTCCTGTTCCCCCAACCTCCTTGCAGCGCATCCGTGTCCAGATCACA